TGTGACAGTTTCTTGAAGCAAAATAAAATCAATGCACTCTCAATCTGCGATTCATCCAAATTCCAGGAGTATCAAAAGTCGTTTCTAACAGTTCTTTTAGGATCGTTTACAGAAATATTACTGTTTTGCTTAAAATCAAATTACAAACAGAATTATAAGTATTACATTGCAATGAAATATTTAAATCTCATCAGTGTCGTACATGTATAATCTAGGGCCTTTATTCAACTCTGAATGACTACAAATTCGAGACAACATTTAGAGAAGTATGCAAAATACCAGAAATCGCACTGACGTACGTTTATGTCGATCCACAAGGACATCATTGACAGCATGCCCAACTTCGTCAACAGAATAATGGACACTTTTGCTCCAGCCAAAGAACGAAAGGAAAGCTTCTTCTTCAAATAGATTTTCTCAAAACAGGTAGGATGAAGAAAACGTCTAATTTACATGCCCTTGGCTATCTTCAACCTGCTTTAACCTCATTGTGCACGCCCACTTTTTAGACCCACGAGCCGCCCCTGTGTACAAGTGAATGTGATACCTGTGTGTCTGTTGTTGATGTTATAGTTCTATGCCACTCATAATATTATTATGTTGATTTTAAATTATCACATTATTCTTCACAAATAATATTATTCTATGACTTGAAAGATACTGTTTTTGCAGCTTTTGTAGCTCATGTTCTGAGCCACAATTAAGTTGCTGCTGGGGTGGCATTTCTCTGTCAAGTAGATCTAAATGTGGTTCTGCCTGAGCACATATGGCCACTTTCCTTTTCTTGGCAGGTTTGACAGTTTCTTCAATGCTTAACTACAAATACAAACAAGTCATCTGCAATTTACAAGCATTGTATCAAACTCAAACCAACTTCATCCCACATTCAAATGCAAATAATTCAAGCCCTTTTGATTCTGGTAAAGGAAACTGAAAGGGTGATGTTTAGTATTATTCAGCTGCTAAATCAGGACTGTGTTGAAAACCTTTCCATAGCTATCAAAGGAAAAAGCAGCCACATACATCAGTGGGTACTTGCTAAGGAAAGTGTCTCCAGTCATATGTGACAAGTGTAAGACTTTGAGAAAAAGGAAGACCTAGATCTAGATCTACATGCCCCACAAAAATGAAGGTCTTGTAAAGCTATGTTCCAGCTACTCGTAGGCCTGGTCAGAAGCTGTGGGACTGTTTGAAGCTATTTAAGCTTCTTTAATTGAGCAAAAGAAACATAGTTAATAATATTGTGTCGATGGGGACCTAAGAAGACATTATTTTTTAAAAGAAACTAAACACCAAACAACTTTTTAAAACAAAGCTACTGACACCCCCCCCCCCCCCCCCCAAACCAACCCCATGCAGTCAGCGCTTGAAATGTTAAAACTGCCCTGCCAGAGTCCAGTACCGGGTAGCCTAACTGTTGACTAGAATCTAGATTATCTAAACAACGAGCTGTTCCCCAATGTCAGAATCCATCATCATGAACTGAAGTTAAGAAACAGTGGCACTCCTGTAGGCCATACAATCGAGGTCCCGTTTGCACTAAATCACACTAATCTAGATCTAGGCCTAGATCTAAGTGCCCCTGTAGTACATTAATTCTTACGCGTTTCGTATTTAGATCTAAACTAAAATAAGATTAGATCTAGATTTTATATCTAATCTAGACGTCTAGATCTAGATCTAGAATCTATAGCTTGATCTAGATATATAGATCTATATATATCTAGATATAGATTATGTTGTCTATCTAGAATCTAAAATCTAGAGATCTAGAGATCTTGATGATCTAGATCTAGATTCTACATCTATATCTAGACCTAGAATCTAGAACTAGAAATCTAGATTCACTCCCACAATGTCAATGGCCGTCATGTAGACAAACGGGACCGCAGTTGTACAGGAGTGCCGAAACCGTGCACCGAAAAAGAAGCCATTTGAAACTAGTAGACTCCAGGCCTACAGAAGCAAGTAGACCTACTGTTAATAATTATGATAGTAGACAGGTGAATCAAGTTGCATGATAGTGATAGGCCTAGTGTGTCCCGCCAATTCACAGGCGAGTAGTCAAGAGTCGCTCTTCGGTCATTCGCCCACCAGGCCACCACTAGATTTAGATCATCTACTTTCCGAACTGCACACTCTTGGCTGGGTGCACAACAAAATCTAGATCTAGATTCTAGATCTAGATACGTTTATTCATTAAATACTCTCTCTCTCTCTGGGCTAAAATAAATAAATTATAGTAACACTAGATCTAGATCGACACACCGCCCGAGATGATCAGCAGCCTTGCATTGTAACTTAACCAATGTGTAAACTACAGCTCGCTCAGCGAGCCAATCACAATCCAACATTTTTGGGGTCCACCTAGACACCATGACTACGTAGACCCCAATCGGGGAGTACGTAGACATTTCCTTTAAAAAAATGCGAAATAAAAAATTTCCGTCATTACCAATACAATAGTCAACAATTGCCAACCCATAGCGGAAGTGCTCTTTTATTTGAAAATGTAGACAGTGTCTTTCACTTTCATTTTCTAAAGCTCAAGAAGCAGAGCACCAGCTCTGTAAACAAGACGATCGTGGTTCAATAGATCTTGGGCCTGCCAAGAAAAGAAAACTCTAAAGAGAGCTTAATGTTTTCTTAGGACTTCTGTAACGAGCGACCACTATGAGACAGAGCAGAATTGAAGGGTTGGGGTAGGGATAAGGGTAGGGTTAGGGGTAGGGGTAGCGGTAGGGTTAGGGTTAGGTCTAGGCCTTTTCTTTATATTGTGTTTGATGTGATGGTCGCTCGTTACGGAAGTCCTTCCGATGTTGTTTTTTTTTTTTTACCCGACTTGTTTATTTGTATGTGTTGTTGTGGATTTTAGTTGAATATAAGCTGTCAAGTTATTTAGATCTAGAATCTAGATCAAGTCAAGCTGTTATAGACCTACTATTGTTATTCTACACCTTATGCTGATTATGGTGCAAACCAACACAAGCAGAAAAAATGTGTACATTAACCGTCAAGTTTTATAGATCTAGTTGTGGATGTACTGTATCGGTACAAGGGAGAAAGCGTGGCTTTGGATTTGGAAATATATGGATTAACACAAGCAGAAAATTATGTAGGCCTGTGCAAGGGTTTTTTTTTTCTCACTTATTTTCTTGTTAGATTTAGGCTTTTGTTTTTGTAAAATGTTTTACGGTGCTCACAACTGCACAAGGTCATATGAGAGCGCGGGACACACCTAATATTTTCGGTTGGTAGGAAATTTTGAATTTTGTGCGGATGGCGGCCGAAGCCTACTCTTATCGATTTTAAACCACCAAGGGATCTTTAACGTGCGCAACTTGCACACGGGCCGTCCGAGATTTTTCGCCCTTGTCCGAGAAGGCTAGGTGTAGATTTTTCCTACCAGAAGATCGGGGGTGTGGTTGAAAGACAGCAGTAAGAAGAAGTGAAGGAGTAGCAGTAGAAAGGCTGCAGAAAGAATCAGGAGCCCAGAGGAAGGGGCAAAGGAGGTGAGGGGGTGGGGGCAGAAAGAGGAGACGAAAGCAGACGACAGAACAATGCTAGAGAGCAGGAAATAAGGTGAAAGGAGACAAATTTAGAGAAGAAAATGTTTCGGTCGCTACCCGGATTCGAACCCGGGACCTTTTGAATGAGAGGCCAACACCTTAACCTCTAGGCCACGCGAGCCCCCAGATTTAGACTTGAATAGTCAAAAATGGCATACTGAGGATGGCCTGAAACCAAAAATGTTCAAACAGAAAGGGGACGCTGTCCCCCTTCAACCCCATGTCAGGGCTCTGCCCTGGACCCGAAATTCCTCGAAAAATGACATCAGCTGCTGGAAAGCTCTGGGAGAGACAGAGAGAGACAGAGAGACTATTGTATTTTATGAACTGTACAAACTTGTAGAGATATTCTTGTGCCTCATGATTTTGTACTCTGGAATTAACCCTTAATGTCCTCTTTTTCCGTGTTGTTTGCAGGACCAGTCGTAGTGGCCGACTCACAAGAGATTGGAATTTTCCTTGTCGGCTGTCACCTTGTTGTTGGAGGCTTGTGTCACGCTCCAGGTGAGTACACACACGCACGAGCATACAGGGTTTTGTTGACTCGGGCTAAGTGCCTTTGGGAGGAAAGGTGTGTGCGTGTGTGTGTGTGGGG